AAAGTAGCTTACTAGATTTAAACAATAGGATGTAATTGGGGGAGTAACTGTGGCATAACTGCTACAAAAAACCAGTAGCGTCCTGACCACTGTCTATTGATTTAAATCACTTTCAACTCTATTTTTGTATGCATTGACTGTTCTCTATAGATAACTAAAAACATAATGTAAGTACCTAAATTCTGTGCTCTTGGCATTCATATAATGTAATTTTCAAATCACCTCATCCATCATATTATTAAAAATATTAAGTTCTTTTGTCTTATACTAATTACTATTTACTTAAATAATTTAGTATCTGTACATTTAAAAACAATACAATTGTTTCTAAGTATGTGCTTAATACATACAATTTATCCTATTAATATTATTTATTATTATTTATTTATCCTATTCATTCTTATCTCATAGAACAAAATGTATTAGGTAGCTAAACACAATCATAATGGACTTACCGATGATGGATACTTTAAATAGTAAGGAGACTAAGTGTGAAATATTTGGAATATATAGAGGATATAACAAAAGATTTATTAAATTTAAAAATTAAGTAGGTAATTATTGAAATAATAATAAAAATGACAACAAGCAAGATAACAATAGAAGATGACATAAATATTAATACCAGAAACGATACCTAGTAAAGATAATTTAAAACTAAATTAGGTATTTAAATTAAATGGCTCAAATGGGTTTTTATTTGTTGTATAAATTACCATAGGTACCAGAGTAAGTTGTGAAAGTAATTCTTTTATTGATCATATATTTATAAAAGTTGGTAGCTATCTTAAATTTCTAATCCCTATAATCTTTGAGTCTCATATCACTACTGTCAATTGTAGTAGATTATTAGTAGAATATTGAAAATATACAAAAAAGTAAAAACCTTTTAAATTAAATCAAATTATTTAGATGATAGATTTATGTACGTTTAAAAAAAAAGTCAATTGGGAGATAGTCATGAACTCATGAATAAGCCTGAAGTTGATAAATACTCGAACATATTTCACGACTTATTAAATAATTATCCTTGTAATTATTTAAATAACGCTCAATAATAATAAAAAATAATTATAATTTCTCAAATAAACAGAGAAACCTAACCTTGAGTATGGCCTGTTTTATAGAATTGTATTTAAGACAATAGATAAAGTATGTAAAATGACACTAAAAAGACCTAACCATAAACAATTACGTTATTATTATAAAAATTAAATTAAAAGTTGTTAAACATATTTAGTTTATTATTGAAGAGGTGGTTAATAGCATAGGCGTGCGCAGACCTTGCTGGCAGGGGGGGCAGAATGTAATAATGTACGTATAGGTATATTATATAATATATAGGTAAGTAAATATTATTTTGGTTATTAGTTCAATTAATGTAAGTGATGGAAGTATTTTCATTTTATGTATCATTAAAACTACAAATAACTACAAATTTAATATAGTAATTGAAACTCCAAAGTTTTTTTATATTATATTAATATACATGAACAAAGAAAATTATTACATTCATACAGTGGTGGATCCAGGGGGATGGAAAAGGGGGCATTTGCCCCCCCCCCAATAACCGTAGTTTTCCTTTGTTTTACACTGTGTTTAGCCAATTTTGGAACTTTCATATACTTTTGAGCCCCCCATGCCCCTCCCAAAATTAAGCCCTGGATCCGCCACTGCATTCATATATATTTTTATGCCCGATGTGTTGGTGAAATCTGAATTTACTAATTCTACTTACTATTTATTTACAATTACAAAAAAAGTAAGTAAGATAGGTAAATTATTATTTGCACCAACACGTTGAACATATAAATATCAACATTTAAAAAAAAATGTAAATCCTTAGTATGATTTTTCCAAAAATAGTACCACTATTATATCATGCATTAATGTATCAATAATATTCTATTCTTTGGTAATATTGAAATTTATACATTATTGTAGGCATGTAACCTATTATTTAAACTGTTTTATAAATTATACTTTATAGGTATTTAATAGTATTAGGTATATAATAAACAATTTGATTTGTAGGTTACAGTATAAATAGAAAATTAATTTCAATATAAAACACCACATTAAAAAAAAAGATAGGTATATTCTGATTTAATCAACACGTTGAGCATAAAAATACTAAAATACTAAAAATTCCGAAAATTGCTTCGGAAGTAAAGAGCTATAATATTTGTTCGTATACTGCATACTAATTATTATAATTATTAATTACTAATTATTTAAAGAACCGACCTTCTTAGCGCTTCCGGTGAACGTTTTTCGCATTAAATGCCGTCAAATTACTACTCACTTTCATGTCTCATCACATCTCAATCTACATCATGCTATAATAAGATTATAAGCACTCGTTATCACCGCGGTATCGCTTGTGGTTCGCTTAAAGTTGGACAACATAAAATCATCGTGCACTGTACATCGAGCACTCAATGTTTACATAATATTCATTATATAAAACTGTATTATAATATTTTTTTAAAAACTTTGTTATTTTGTAAGAAAACTTGAGCCCGCAGGAGGGGCAGCTGCCCACCCTGCCCCTCCCGTGCGCACGCCTATGGTTAATAGGACACCAAATACTAAATAACAACACTTAAAAAATATCCATAAAAATATATTTATTCATTTATTTAACAATAATACTTATAAATATGTTAAAACTTAAAAGTAAATCCACTATTTTATAAATGTTGATGAAAATATTGAAAAACACATACATAAAGATAGAATGTTATAATTTAAAATAACTAATGGTAGGTAATACCTAAATAAATAAATATATTATTATTGCTTAGATGTATATTGTCGTAACTGGAATACCACACCATATTTCTCCTGGAGTATGTTTAGTGTCTCCTTATTTTCTTTTAATTAAATCCTACCTGACAAATCGCTCTTTTACTGTCCGCCTAAACGCTATCTACTCAAATCATTACACAATTAAAGCATATGTCCCCTAATGAAGCAACATAGCCCCCTTCCTTTACTCAATTTTTACTCATGACATCCCTAAGACCTTCTTATTCTGAAGACACATTAAAACGAAAACCACATTACTACCAGTGATATGATTCAAAACCATTTAAATAAGATTAACTTGTTGGCAAACAGGTGGAAAATCAAGATAAATAAATCTAAATCTGTTCAAGTAACTTTTTCACTTAGAAATCTCGATTTACCACCTGTTACATTAAATAATCAAACAATACCAACGGCAAATGAAGTTAAATATCTTGGGCTTACCTTAAATAAATATCTAACCTATAGCTAAAACTAACAACTCTAGAATTCACATCCTAAGACCACTCTTGAAATCCAAACACTCAATATCCAATAAACTTATCACATACAAGTCAATAATTCAACCAGTTTAAACATATGGATATGGAATTCAGTTATGGGGTTCTGCAAAGCCATCCAATACCAAAACTCTTCAAGCGTTTCAATCCATCTGCTTATGACTAGTAACGTACAAAAAACGTATTCAAATACTTTTATTCAAATACATTTATTCGAATACTTTACAAGACTGCTGCCCAATAACACTAACTCCTGTTAATAACCTTGTACCAAATTTACCCATTATACTAATTATATTGTTGACATGAAAACATTGTAGATTATTGTAATACAAACTGTATGGATCAAAAATTGTACATTCCACTAAATATGTAGGATGTAGGTGTAATATTTAACCAACATTGAAAATGGGTGTGGCGTATATTATAATATAATCTATATTGACATAATATGTTCTAATTGTATATTTGTATGGGGATCTACATTCAAAATTCCTTGAAACCACTTAATGTACCTAGTACAGAAAATTCTAATTAGAACTAAGTATGCTATAGCATTAAAAAAATAATTATTGTTATAATCAGAGGAACAATTTCCATAAAAGAATCCTAAGGCTGAAGCGAGTGAAGCCCCTATTATTTTATTTATTCGACTATGCACAAATGGCATAAACTATTTGGTGCTAATTTCAAAACTGGGGGTGCTAATCATCCTCAAGACAATCACCCCCCTCAAAAAAAAAAAACAAAATGAGCCTATGTTTTAAATGCAAAAAAATTTAGCTTTTAAATGGTTACATTGAAAAATGTAGATTATAGAAATATACAAAATAAAACATAAATTATAAAATGTAATGTTTATCAGAAACGCCAATAAATTTAGCAGTTGAGGTGTATGTATAAATAAAATTTAAAAAAAAAACTAATTTTAAATATAAAAATACTTATTATAAAACCAAGATATACCACCAATGAAATTTAAATATCTACTTGATAAGCCAAATACTACATTAACATAAATCTTTTTTGAAAATAGAGAAATAAATCTAATCAATAATTTTTTTAAATTGGTAAAACTATTCAAAATAAATTATGAATATTTGAATATAAAATGAAAAAAATGAATATGAAATTATATAATTGAATGGTCTACTGATTAAATTAAATGATTAAACATTTTTATGACAGTCTTTCTAGTTTAGGTATTAATTACTAACTAATTGTTTTAAAAAATTTCCTGATCCCACAAGTTTTTATTCAAAAGGAACAGGTATCCAATAATAACATAACTACCTATAAAGTGTGTGCTATATTATATTATGTAAAATTAAGAAATAGTTATTAAGTATGATATTGTCGAGGATATTGTGTTATACATATTATATAATATAATATGTGTGAATATGTTTATTATTGTATTCAAATTTAATAAAAAATAATAATAATTTAACTGTTCAGTTTTCTACCATAACGTGACTCTTATGTGGTTGCCGGTTATGCCTCTATGCTTACCTATAGGAAATATGATTTTACTCGTGATTTTAGGGTCTCATTGAAATACAGTTTACATTAAAAAAATGTTTAGTATAAACTAAATTTAAGTAAATATACTAAATTGTATTAATTATTATTAATATTTACAGACACTCAAAAAACAATTTAGCCATTCAGTATTAACAACCAAACAAAATGGATAAAAGGCTATTAAATGTTAGCCTGTTAGGTTTGGCCTTCATGTTTGTTTTCACCGCATTTCAAACAATGGGAAATATTGAAGTAAATAACTACTAATATTATTACTTATTAATTAAGGAGTATTTTTGAAGATTTGAGGATAGTTTTTTTCCAGTTACAGACACTTTTACATGAAGCCAGTCATTACCGCTTCAGTAATGTGTATTGCTGTTAAAGCTTAAAAGAAATAACATTACGCACTATCTTATTTTGATGATATGTAAATCATACATTTTAAAAATAAATAAATAAAACTTGATACAATAATATTAAATACTCATCCCAATATTTTGTTTTAGTAACATGTTGCATAGTTTTAAGAATTTGTTTTTTTAAATATAAAAAAATTGTAATTGAATTTTAAATTTTTAAATTATTGTTTAATTATTTAGGTGCTTAAACAAAAAAATATTTTATATATTTATTCAGTGATAAAGTCCTTGATAAAGTCCTAACATTTTTAGTGAGTATACGCTTCAAAAAAGGTTGAAATGTAATGATTAAGCGATTAAGATGGCTCTATAGTTGTTACCTACTGATCAATGTGTTAATTACCAACATTCTACATAACTTGTTGGATTCCATATAGAAATCTATGGCCTTCAGTATTTATAAAAAATTAGAATAGAAAGTAGAAATATTGTGTACAGATAATCTGAATCTGAGATCTGTACATATGCTACCATAAAAAAAAGGTTAGCTAAGGTACCCACGTAATATTATATTACACCCAGTTACCAAACGTTAGGTTAATGCCCATTAATTTGTTAAAAAGTTAAAGTTAAGTTAAAAAGTTAATGTTTTTTAAACTTTTTAACTTAACTAGTTAATTATTTTTGTTTTTAACTTATTAACTTATTCAGTTAACATTTTTACTGTTGTCACTTAACTTTTAATAGTTAATAATCATTTTCATGCAGTGAAGTTAATTTTATTTTTGAGTCATGCATAATCAACTTGGCAATACTGATTTGTCGACTTTTTTACAATTTTGGTAATTTATTTTCGAATTATACATTATAATAATCTAATTTTTTACACAGTGTTAAATATCTTGGTAAATGTTTGTGTATAACAAAATACTATGATGGTTTATGATTTAAAAATATCGTACCTTAAAAAAATTAACTTTTTTTTAACTGAGATAAGTTAATTTTATTTTCTATCTTAACTTTAAACTTACCTAGTTAAAATTTTTTCTTTGTTAACTTTTAACTTAACTAAAGGCAATTTAATTGAATCAACTTAACTTTCCACAGTTAATTATTTTCATTAACTGGCCCACCATTGCCAGTTACACCACTATGTTTATAGAATATTGTTTTATGTTTATTTATACTATTATTTTTTTTTTCAGAAAACTATACTAAAAAGCATTCAAAATGACTATCCCTCATTTACTGGTGATGGATATACTAGTTTGTCCATCATCTATATTGTGTTTGCTTTATGTAATTGGATATCTCCATCAATTGTCAGTTTTGCTGGTTCCAGATTAGCTATGTTTATAGGAGCATGCTGTTACACGTTTGTACTTCCTTACAAATAATGTAGTGTTATGTCTTATAACTAACTTGTACTGAACATAAAAATTTGGTTTAGTATGTTCTTAGTATCATTTCTCTGGCCGACCACCTTTTTACTTTATTTCATGTCGGCGGTAATCGGTTTTGGTGCTTCAGTTATTTGGACAGGGCAAGGAGCATATTTAACATTAAATTCTGATTCTTCTACAATGTCCAGAAACTCAGGAGTATTTTGGGCTTTGTTGCAAATGAGGTATTTTAATAATTTATTAGTTATTTGGTATGGTATCTATACACGTAAAGTTTTTTTTCTGGTTTCAGTATGTTTTTAGGAAATACATTTGTGTTTTTTGCACTTCACGATAAAAATCATTTGGATGAATCAACAAGAACGTTAGTCTTTACTGTCCTCATAGCTGTATGTTTTTTGGGTACTTTATTATTTTTACTTTTACGATCGCCTTTAAGTTCAGAAGGAACTGAAAATGAACGAGGAGAAACTTTATCGCCTATTCAAGAAATAAAAAATTCTCTGTCTCTTTTCCTAACAGAAGACATGTGTTTATTAAACATGTCATTTTTTTTTACTGGTAAGCTGAAAAATCATCTTTAGTAGACAGTATAATTATATCATAATATGCTTGTTACCTAATTGTTTTGTGAATTTTTTTACAGGTTTACATTTGTCATTTTATAGTGGTGTCTATAGTTCAAGTATTGGATTCACTACAAGTATGGGAACCAACAGTAAACAGCTTGTGGGTTTATCAGGAATCTTGATTGGCGTTGGCGAAATTTTAGGTTAAAGCAATGTGACAATTGCTTCAACAATTACAATACATACCAATTTTTTGTAGGAGGTTTTCTGTTCAGTATTCTGGGTAAAAAAACTTCCGACAACAACATTGAATCCAAAGGATTCAGTCATTCAGCAGTGGTTGCTCTTGGTTTTATTATAAATATTATTGCATACGGTTTGATATTTATAAATTTACCAGACGAATCACCATTTGGTGATACAACAGCGAAATCTTTTATCGAACCTAAGTAATATTAATTATTTGTATATTAATTTCAACATAGATTACTCATCATAATATATATATGTACATCATATTTTAGTCAGTACCTAGCAATTTTCTGCAGTTTTCTCTTGGGTTTTGGCGACAGTTGTTTTAATACTCAAATTTACAATGTAATTGGACAAAGATATTCCGAAAATAGTGCTCCAGCTATGGCCTTGTTTAAATTTATGCAGGTATATATTTTGTGTTGAATAGTTAATTGTGATATATATTATACAGAGTAATTAAATAAGTATGATCACCCTCCATTTTGTTATTAAAATATAATTTTTGGAATTTTTAAATTTAAGCACTGAAAAATATTTTCAAACTCTTGAAATTTTTTGTTCAACTTAAGAAGTGTCCTGTGGATCTAAAACGTTTTTTTTTCAAAAAAGAATTCCCGTTTTCTGCTGTAAATTATTAAACAGATAATTTTTCTAAAAATTATGATATATTAAAACAAAATTTAAACGATTTGTTGAGTTATTTAACTTTGTGTACTAAGGATAATGGGTACATAAAATATAGAAGTTATGGTGATTTGAACATTTTAGTAAATAATATTAATCTATTAACAATTAGAATTTATAAAAATGGTTCAAGTTTAATAAATACTAGATCCAATAGAACATATATTTTATATTTTTGTAAAATCATTTTTAAGGATTATTAATCCTTATGATAAACATTTTAATATCTGAGAAATTACTCATTGCAATTTTGAACTAGGTAGACCACAATGTTCAAAAAAAATATCAACTAATTTACATTCAAAAAGGGGGGATTCTCTTCTGAAAAACAGAAGGTTGTATCACACCTAACCTAGCCCACAGAACATTTTTTAAGTAGTCCAAAAAATCTTTAGAATTTGAAAATGTGGTATTTATGTATATTTAATCTAAAAATGAGATTTTGATTAAATTAATTATTAATGGAAAAATAAGGTTAAATTTGGTGAATCACTGTATACAATTGAATATTGTGATATTTTTAAGTGAGTCTAATGTTTAAAAATATTTTATTTTAGTCGATAGCTGCTGCCATTAGTTTCTTCTACAGTAATCATTTTGGAATGTATGTTCAACTAACCTTGTTGGTGATCACATTAATTATGGGTACTCTGTCGTTTTTCAAAGTGGATAAATCTATTGATAACCGGTGAGAAAAGTTTTACAACAATAACCATGTAATGTACAGCTTCATTCAACACAATTTTGGAGTATCGAACTTTCCATATCAGTATATTAATGTTGCATTCCAATTTTCAACTTTTATAACATTATTTATTTTAGTACTTATTACATCACTTTTTATAATATTATCTTAATTTTTTTTTGTATATACCAGCATTGATTTTATAATTTAATTTATTGTAAAATCAATGATACCAGTATTGTTTATATAAGTCTATATAAAAAATTTGTTCAAGTATTCCATGTGCCAAATCTGCAAATTTTTAATTAATTAATTAAAACAATATATAAATATACCGTGTTGTTACTACTTATTTTTAATTTATTGTTTTTTTAGATATAAAGAATTTTAGAATTTTAATATTCATTGGACCAAATGATTTGAACCATACATCAAGTTGTATATTGTCTAATATTATTAAGAAAAATATAATATGTATAGCTAGTCCAACCAGTGTACTGGTATATGAACCAAAAATATCTAAATTTTGTCATACAAAATATTTTTTTTTTAGGTTAATGTTATAAATTATTAAAAGTTTAAAAAAACACCATTATTGTTAATCAACATTGTACCAACAAACAATATTTTTCAATGTTAAAGGGAGTTAACATTTATTTTGGTTCTCTTTGTTTAGAATTGTATTAACTATAATTTAATTAATTGTCTTAAAATAAACACTTATACACTGGAAATGCATAGTCGTAGGTTAAAACCATCTATTATAATATTATAAAATATCATATTGTTGTTAGAAAATAGTACATTGCTTTCTGTAAAAACTGCTGTTTATACTCGGTTAAAATAAAAAAAAACAATTGGTGTCAACCAGTTTTTGTTGGTGGCAATCGGGCAATTTGTCAAATGATATTTGTCACCTCCACCCAGAGGTGCACTCTAGAAGGTTCAAGGGTGGCAGCTATCATAGGCGTGCGCACGGGGAGGGGGGCAGGTGGGCTGCGGCCCCTGGCTTTTTCTTTAATAAATGCATAGACAGAGAACATTTTTATATTTTACATGAAAAAAGTAAAGCCAGTTTTAATCTCATAGCATAGGCTTTTGCAGGATTTTGTATCGGGTGCAGCATACATTTTTAACCGGCCCTAGAGAACAATAAGCAGCCCACTTATTTTCTTTATATATCCTCCCCCCCGGCCCCCTGAATTTTGTTTAGCCCCACTGTGTAAACATGTAATATTTTATACGTTCAATAATCACTAGTGTACCCGAATCATTATTTCATTAGCATTTGTACTAATTGAAGATCTGGACGTGGCAACAGATTTGCTTGCTGATGATTTACCTGACGACATTGTTCCGTTACTTGAATGGTTTGAAGAATATTATATAGGAAGAAAAAATAGAAGAAAAGTGGGTCGTTGATCACCACAATTTCCTCCAGAAATATGGAATTTATATCAAAGGGTGTTAACAAACCAAAACCGCACAAATAATCATGCTGAAGCTCCTAATAGGCGTTTAAATATTTAAATGGGGGTTATTAATCCAACAATATGGTCATTTATAAATTGCCTTAAAAAAATCCAAACAGGAAGAGACGTTTTTTATGAACAATTAGTTACTAGTGGAAGTCCACCAAAAAAAAGAAGAAATACATTGATAATGATAAAAGAATTTTAAAATTAGTGTCTAATTATGATAAAAATAGAATTTTATTATTTTTAAGAGGCATTGCAAACAATGTTTCATTAGGGTAACTATTTTTAATGTAATAATATTTTGACTATATTATCTTGTAATAATGTTTTAAAACTATTTATTTTTACTATATATTTTTATTAATACTTTGACTATATCTTGTAATAGTTTGAATTCAATGATATAATATTATTGTATAAGAAAAACGATTCTGAGCGGAGACGGTATGTCAGTCTGGGTAAAAGACATATTATATAGGTACTTATCTATGGTATTAAAAAAAATTGACCTATAATAGGTAGGTCCCTATAATAAATTCCAAATTAATCATATCACAATATCCATTAGGTACTTATAACGCCTTATACATAAACAACAAACCCTGATATACTATTATAGTTATATAGGTAATAGTGTACTTTAGAAGTTTCAAGTACCCACAAATAATATTATACAATCACAACAAAATAACTAAAATAGTTATTCTGGGTTTTTTATGGTTAGGTTAATTTGAACTTAAAATGAATATAAAAATAAACTGTGCTTCACACATAAATTTTTAACTACAAAATAATTATTCAATTTTAAATTTGATAAATTTTGTCAAAAATTGATCTTTAAATGCTTATAAAAAAAAACCTGTGCCTATGTATTTTTAATATTTTTCAATTGCTATTGTAACAATATATCAGAAGCCTTCTATTAAATTTTTACACTTTTTGGCAGAACAGATAAAACTTTATTGATATTTATAGAAAAAAAAAAAACTAAAAAAAATTGAAAGCTGTAAATGTCCGTAAACAGCTCAAAAAGAGTCAAATATTTTCAAAATTGTATGGTGTATAGGAAATGCTAATATAAATATTCAGTGAAATTTTCATGTATCTACAGTCATTCGTTTATGAATTACAACAAAATAGGGAAATCGCTACACGAGAAATCGAGTGAATGCTGTAAAGAATTAGAAAAAAACTAAAAAAAAGGTGGGCAAGTGGGTGTCGCTCTGCTGTACAGTAGGTTACAAGTGGGTCACTGTATAATGGATGGTATTAAATTTGAATTCAATGATATAATATCATTGTATAAGAAAAACGATTCTGAGCGGTGACGGTATGTCAGTCTATGTATAAGACATATTATATACATATCTATGGTATTAAACAAAAAATTGACCTATAATAGGTAGGTCCCTATAATAAATTCCAAATTAATCATATCCCAATATCCATTAGGTACTTATAACGCGTTATACATCAACAAAAACCGTGATATTATCAAAGATATATAATAATACACTTTAGAGTATCAAGTACCCGCGAATAATATTATTCAATCACAACAAAATAACTAAAATAGTTATTCTAGGTTTTTTAATATGTAATTTCGTCCAAATTTTAATTTAAAATGTCTGTAAAATATAACTTTGTTCATATTATATTTTTTAGATTTTTTTGTTACAGTAGGAACTATTTATGAGAACCTTTGTTTTAAATTTGCAATCCTTAGCTATAAAAACTGAACATTTTATAATTTATTAATTACAATGATTGATAAATTTTGTCAAAATTCGATCTTTAAATGCTTATAAAAAAAAATTGTGCCTATGTATTTTTAATATTTTTCAACTGATATTGTAACAATATATCAGGAGTCTGGTATTAAATTTTTACACTTATTGGCCCAACAGATAAAACTTAATTGATATTTATAGAAAAAAAAACTAAAAAAATTGAAAATTAAAAATGTCCGTAAACAGCTCAAAAAGAGTCAAAATATTTTAAAAATTGTATGGTGTATAGGAAATGCTAATTTAAACATTCAGTGAAATGTTCATGTCTCTACAGTTATTCGTTTTTAAATTACAACAAAATAAGGAAATCGCTACATGAGAAATCGAGTGAATATCCAATATTGTAAATATTTGAATTTCAAACGCTCATGAAAATTTAATTTGACTTTCTTATAGATATTTTTTTTTGATAAAGGTAGATAATCTTACAAGGAATCTTGTATAACATTTTCAAATCTTAGATTCAAAAAGAAAAATTTTTACGAATTCTTAACTCAAAATAATTTGCTAATTTTCGTGATTTTTCCATATTTTGTCAATTTTATAACTTTAAATGCTTATAAAAATAAACTGTGACTAACGATTTTTAATATTTTTCATCTGCCTTTGAAACAATATACTAGGAGCCTTCTATTAAATTTTCAAGTTTTTTTAACCAACAAATAAAATGATATTTCTAGAAAAAAAACTAAAAAAAAATGAAAAATTAAAATGTCCCTAAACAGTTAAAAATAAATCAAAATATTTTGAAAATGTTATCGTGTATAGAAAATGCAAATATAAACAACCAGTGAAAATTTCATGTATCTACGGTTATTTTTTTTAAAGTTACACCAAAAACCAAATTCAATTTTCTGAAAAATCGATTTTGCGTAAAAATTCCCGTTTTTCCTTAATTTTTCTTTTGTTTTTCTTGGCGCTTTTGAAAAGTACTGTGAATTTTAAATTTTGACCTCCCAATGCACCAACGATATTCACTTTCCAATCAAACAAGATACTGAAGTCGAAAATCGAAGCATTATTTCGACTACTTATCGTGTACACAGACACAAAAATAAATAAAAAAAAAATATAAAAACACACATCATTGTAAAATCAATACATTCATCGTTCCACTCAGAATCTAAAATGTAGTTAATTGTTGCAGATTAAAATAATAATAGTGTATTATATATCGGTTGCTATTGGTTAATCGGGCATGTTTGTTGATTTGTATTATTATTTTTCGTAGATATATAATGTTATATAATGTTTGTGTGTAGATTAGACCTCTGGGAAGAAGATAGATTAATTTAACAAGGGTTAAATTTGGTTTTTTTTTATTCATTGGATTTTAGTACGGTTAGGTTAGGATTTTGTATTGATTAATTATATCAATTCACCGTAGGTGGAATGAAGTAACTTTGATACTCTAGAGCTAAATCATACACTTACGTACAAACATCACGGGATCAGCGATCTACTGCAGGTAGATTGCCTACCTGATAATATACAGCTGAGAATCAGAATTTTTATTCTGGGCACAACGGAAAAGTTAAGATAAGTTTTCAACACCATACATCGAATATTAAATAACGAATTGAACAAAGTTTGAGTCATATATATAGAGTTGGTCCATTTAACGGCAACGATATGCACGTGATCGGTTTTTTTTTAATAAAAATATATTTATCATTAATACCGCTAGAAACATTTCAATACGCTTTCATTAAACATTTTTATATATTGACTTGCCGATCACATTAAGCTATATAATTTGAATACAAAATTATACATATCATTCAGAGGCAAAATAAACAACCAATCACGGGCGAAGCTGTGACGGGTCGGCTATATGTAAATATAAAACTTATTTAAAAATAAAACAAAATTTACTAAACCACTGAAATATTTCACACATTTTGAAATAATTCATGAAATATTTCACGAAATATTACATTTTTTTAAATTCCATGAAATTTTCAAACACTGTAAAAAATAATATATAAAATTTAGACAGCAGTCTCATATAATAAGTAGATACATAGTTTTTAGACAGCAGTTTCATTATAATGATACATCATTTTTAGACAGCAGTCTCATATGATAATACAAATTTACAAAATACAGTGATAATACAAATT